TCCCTTCTATCACTTCCATCACTTCTTCTCTCTTCCCTTCCATCCCTTCTTCTCTCTTCCCTTCCATCCCTTCTTCTCTTCTTCCCTTCCATTCCCTTCCTTCCTCTTCTTCCCTTCCATCCCTTCTTCTCTCTTCTTCTCTTCCTCTCTCTTCCTTCCATCCCTTCTCTCTTCCCTTCCATCACTTCCATCCCTTCTTCTCTCTTCCCTTCCGTCACTTCCATCCCTTTCTTCTCTCTTCCCTTCATCTTCCATCCCTTTTCTCTCTTCCTTCCATCACTTTCCTCTCTCTTCCCTTCCCACTTCTTCTCTCTTCCCCTTCCATCACTTCCATCCCTTCTTCTCTTCTTCCTTCCATCACTTCCATCTTCTTCTCTCTTCCCTTCCATCACTTCCATCACTTCTTCTCTCTTCCCTTCCATCCCTTCCATCCCTTCTTCTCTCTTCCCTTCCCATCCTTCCATCACTTCATCCCTTCTTCTCTCTTCCCTTCCATTCACTTCCATCCCTTCTTCTCTCTTCCCTTCCATCACTTCCATCCCTTCTTCTCTTCCCTTCCAATTCCATCACTTCTTCTCTCTTCCCTTCATCACTTCCATCCCTTCTTCCTCTTCCCTTCTCCATCTTCTTCTCTTCCTTCCTCACTTCCATCCTTCTTCTCTCTTCCCTTCATCATTTTCTTCTCTCTTCCTTCCATCCTTCCATCACTTCCTCTCTCTTCCTTCCATCACTTCATCCCTTCCCTTCTCTCTTCCTCTTCCCTTCACTTCCATCCCTTCTTCTCTCTTCCCTTCCATCACTTCTTCTCTCTTCCCTTCCATCACTTCTTCTCTCTTCCTTCCATCACTTTTCTTCTCTCTTTCCCTTTCTTCTCTCTCCCTTCCATCACTTCTTCTCTCTTCCTTCCATCACTTCTTTCTTCTTCCTTCCATCCTTCCCCTTCTTCCTTCCTTCTTCTCTCTTCCCTTCCATCCACTTTTTCTTCTCTCTTCCCTTCCATCACTTCCATCCCTTCTTCTCTCTTCCCTTCCATCCACTTTTCCTTCCTTCCTTTCATTCTCCTTCCCTTCACTTCTCTCTTCCTTCCATCACTTCCATCTTCTTCCTCTTCCCTTCCATCACTTCTCTCCTTCTTCATCCTTATATCTCTTTCTCCTCCCTTCCATCACTTCCATCCTTCTTCTCTCTTCCCTTCCATCACTTCCATCCCTTCTTCTCTTCTCCATCCCTTCTCTCTCTTCCTTCCATCACTTCTCTTCTTCCCTTCCATCATTCTCTCTTCCCTTCACTTCTTCTCTCTTCCCTTCCATCACTTCTTCTCTCTTCCTTCTCCACTTTCCCTCACTTCTCTTCCCTTTCACTTCATCCCTTCTTCTCTCTTCCCTTCCATCATTTCCCCTTCTTCTCTTCTTCCCTTCCATCACTTCTCTCTTCCCTTCTCCTTCTCTCTTTCCATCCCTCTTCTTTCCTTCCATCACTTCCATCCCTTCTTTCTCTCCCTTCCATCACTTCCATCCTTTTCTTCTTCCCTTCCATCTTTCCATCCTTCTCTTCTTCTTCCCTTCCATCACTTCCATCTTTCTCTCTTCCTTCCATCTCTTCTCTTCCTCTTCCTTCATCATTCCTCCTCTTTCTCCCTTCCATCCATTCCATCCCTTCTTCTTCACCTTCCACTCTCTTCCTTCCATCACTTCCATCCTTCTTCTCTCTTCCCTTCCATCACTTCCACTTCCATCACTTCCATCCTTCTTCTCTCTTCCTTCCATCCTTCCATCCTTCTCTCTTCCCTTCATCCTTTCACTTCATCATTTCCATCCCTTCTCTCTTCCCTTCCATCACTTCCATCACTTCCTCTCTCTTCCCTTCCATCCCTTCTTCTCTCTTCCTTCCATCACTTCCATCCCTTCTTCTCTCTTCCCTTCCATCACTTCCATCCCTTCTTCTCTCTCCCGTCCATCCATTCTTCTCTCTTCCCTTCCATCACTTCTTCTTCCTTCCCTTCCATCACTTATTCTCTCTTCCCTTCCAACCCTTCTTCTCTCTTCCCTTCCATCACTTCTTCTCTCTTCCCTTCCATCACTTCTTCTTCCTTCCCTTCTTCTCTCTTCCTTCACTTCCATCCCTTCTTCTCTCTTCCTTCCATCATTTCCATCCTTCTTCTCTCTTCCCTTCCATCACTTCCATCCCTTCTCTTTTCCTTCCATCTTCTCTCTTCCCTTTCCATCACTTCTTCTTCCTTTCCTTCACTTCTCTCTTCCTTCCATCCCCTTCTCCTTCCTTCCATCACTTCCATCCCTTCTTCTCTCTTCCTTCATCACTTCCATCACTTCCATCCATCTCCTTTTCTTCCATCTTTCCTCTTTTCATTTACTTCTCATCCATCCCTTCCAATCTCTTCACTTCCATCCCTTATCTCTTCACTTCCATCATTTCCATCCCTTCTCTCTTCACTTCCATCACTTCCTCCTTCTTCCTCTTCACTTCTATCACTTCCATCTTCTTCTTTCTCTTCCTTCATCACTTATCCTTTTTCTTCTCTCTTCCCTTCCATCACTTCCATCCCTTCTCTCTTCACTTCCATCACTTCCATCCTTTCTTCTCTCTTCCCTTCCTTCACTTCCATCCCTTCTTCTCTCTTTCCTTCCATCACTTCCACCCTTTTTTTTCTCTTCCCTTCCATCCCTTCTTCTCTTTTCCCTTCCATCACTTCCATCCCTTCTCTCTCACACTTCCATCCCTTCTTCTCTCTTCCCTTCAATCACTTCCATCCCTTCTCTCTTCACTTCCATCCTTTCTTCTATCTTCCCTTCCTTCACTTCCATCCTTTCTTCTCTCTTCCCTTCCATCACTTCTATCCCTTCTTTTCTCTTCCCTTCCATCCCTTCTTCTCTTTTGCCTTCCATCACTTCTTCTCTCTCCCCTTCCATCACTTCTTCACGTCACTTCTCTCTTCCCTTCCATCACTTCCATCCATTCTTCTCTCTTCCCTTCCATCACTTCCTCCCCTTCTCTTCTCTTCCTTCACTTCCATCCCCCTTCCCCCTTCCTCCTTTCTTTCCTTCCCCATTTTCCCCAGTCCTCCCCCCCTCTTTCCCTGCCCCCTTCCTTCCCTTCACCCTCCCCCCCTCCCATCTCTCTCTCTCTCTCTCCTACCATCGTTTCCTACTGTCACCCCTCCTCCCCCCCCCCCCCCCCCTCCCCCCCTCCCTCCCACAGGGGCGCCGTCGAAACCAGCGGGTCTCTGAGACACAAAGATGGCGCCGCTCTCGAAGGCTCGTCATGAATATCCATTGAAGGGGCTGGTGGCGATTGTCCTTTTGGTGACGTCACACTTGGGAAGGGAAGGGGGGGGGGGAGAAAGTACACGGTGGAGCCAGGGAGGAAGGGAGGCTGGAGGGGGAGAAGGGAGGGGAGGGAGGGGAGTGGGAGGGGGAGGGGAGAGGGAGGGGGAGACGGAGGAGGGGAGTGGGAGAAGGGGGAGGGAGAGGAGAGGGAGAAGGGAGAGGGAGGGAGGGGAGAGAGAGAGAGAGAGTGAATGTGTGAGAATGAAAATTTAATTTGATTCCACATAATTTATTTACAAAACAGTGTACAAGCCCTGCAAAAAGCCGGGGTAAGATGCCAAAGCAACTCTATTTATGTAAAGGACTATCAGCCAGTCATGAACTCTACACACATACATACGTCACTGCTATCATTTTATTCACATATCATCTAGTCGGTAAAAAAATAAATAAATAAAGAATAAAATAAAATAAAATAAAATAAAATAAATAGATTAATAATCATATTAAAGGCAAGACCAGTGACTATAATAGAATTAATATAGTCAATAAGTGCTGGTCTCCGGGCTGTGCTATTTGATCGATAGGATGCAGTTTTCGTGCAACAAAGTGAGTAATGTGTATGATTATGCAACTTGGGCGCCTTGCGCACTTCGCAGTGGTGACATGAGCATGGCTTTGCCTCCAAAACTACATCCTGCACATAATGTATAGTGTACTAATATCCTAAGCGTAGCCTGGTTGCCGTCTCCGAGGCAGTTCATTACTGAATTAAAAGTTTTGTTCATATGTGATGACCCTGCCATACTTCCATAATACCAGATGGCACCATGTCATCTAGTCCACATCGGGCCCTCATCATCTCGAAGACAGCTGATAACACGTTCTATCACGAGATAATGGCACTGCACAGTTCTTCGACAGTGCTAGTTCTGAGCCACCTTGTCACAGGCTGATATTCCTGTGTAAAGGGATATCCAGCGTAGAGGTACGTGCATGGCCTGCTCTTTGGGTGGCAATTTGGTGGATATTTCTAGTTGCCGTGTTTTCTGGATTAAATAGGGGGAGGGAGGGAGAGAGAGAGAGACAGAGATAAACAGATAGATAGAGAAAGAGAGGACAGACAGAGATGAGGAGAAGAGACAGATAGGCAGACAGACACACAGAGATAAAGAGAGAGAGAAATAGAGATAGAGGAAGAGAGAAGGAGACAGATAGGCAGAAGAGGAGAGATGCAGAGAGAGAGAGAGAGAGAGAGAGAGAGAGAAGAAAGAGAGAGAGAGAGAGAGAGAGAGAGAGAGAGAGAAGAGAGAAGAAGAGAAGAGAGAGAGAGAGAGAGAGAGAGAGAGAGAGAGAGAGAGAGAGAGAAGAGAGGACAGACCACAGAGAGAGAGTATTCTCACAGCTGACCTATTCAAACGCCCTTTCTCTTTGTCATGAGGGTGATTAAGTATACCTTGTGAATCAGAATCAATTAGAACATTTAGGATTGGAATGAAACCATTATCCTCTGCGATTAGATCTGTTGTATATTTTAAATACACATAACTTACACACGATAACTTTGTACTTAAAAAATTTTCTCACATGTCATATGCCCTTTGGTTTAATGTCATACAAACCCGGTTTACGTGAAAGCACATTGAGGCAAATTCAAGCACAGTTAACCTGAAAACACACCATGGGGCAGTTAAGCACATTTACCTGAAAGCACATTACAGCACATTCAAGTACAGTGCACCTGAAAGCACATTCAAGTACAGTGCACCTGAAAGCACATTCAAGCGCGGTTCACCTGAAAGTACATGAACACGAAATCAATCCCAGTGCACCCAAGGAACCATCAAGCACTGCACCTGCCCCTCGCCGAGCGCCTCCCCGCCCAAAATGGAGCCCGAAAGCAGCCGGAACGACGAGCAGGGAGGGCCACCGCCGGCGCCTCGTGAGTGGCAGATGGCCCAGTGACTTCCCCAACACCGAGGACTTAATGAACCGAAAAACTGATCGCACTATTGATTGCGGATATTCGGTCAGTCGGCGAGGATGCATATTTCATTCACATCCGGCCATGCACGTCCTGCCAGGCATGCAATCGCGGAACGCCTGGCTCGCTATTGGCTTATGGCAACGTCAGCCGCCCGTCGACAGAACTATCAATTTCCACTGGCAGTTGCTGTATCAACTGACCTACTTACCCCCCCCCCCTGTCAGTGTCACGGCAAGAAAGTGTTAAGGTCATTTACTCTTCTCTTGCCATGTTGCCATTATGTGGCTGACAACACCCAACTGCTTAATCGTCCATCATGAATGCAAGTGGGCAATCCAATCTCTATCATTAAAAGATTTTTAACTCTTATTTCCGGACTTTGTCGTCTGAGCGATCTGAACTTGAATATCAACTAAAGGGATATGGGGTATTGATACTAAGTTCCTCTCATTAACTCTGAAAAAAGTTATGAGGAAAAAGTTTTCTGATGAACATCCTACCATGGTTAACAACAACATAATTCCACCATCTTCACTTAAGCGTTTACAGATAGTAAATAAATGTATCGCCCACTGTAGGATCATCAGCTGAGCCGCCCATCTGCATGGCAGGCAAATCGCGCCGTTGCACCTCAGCCCTAAATCCTAAAAGTGTACCAATGGCTAAACAAGTGTATGGTGCAAGTCGACCCAACAAGTGATTGATCAGCCAGCGTGACAAAGTTGCATGTTGACGCACACGCCCGACTAGGGTCCGTCTGGCGACCAATGGCAACTAGTCAGTCGTGCTGCCATATCACCGTCGCTCCAACTTGCTCATACATATCATGCAAATTGCAAATTCGGCGGACATCCCGCATCTCGGCACACATTTGACTAAGGCTTCCTTCTGGCGTGCATTACTCGAAACGATTTTGATTTCTCTTACCAAATGACTGATATGGAGTGACCCTTTAATAAGAAAATTACAGAACAACAACAACAAAAAACATAACTGGTCCTGTTAACTTCGTTTCCCCCGCCGCAATTACAGCTCCAAGTATTTCGGGACTGCGCTCTCCGTCCTGCGCGCTGATTGGTCCGCCGCGGCCACCAGACGACGCGCCATGTGACCAACTCGGAGACGTTAGGGCCAGTACGGAATATTGATTGTCAAATATATTTTCCCTTCTTCACCTCTCACTATAAATATATTAGATCTAGTATCTAAGCAACAGAGGATGTAGGAAAATGCACTGGCATGAAGTCGTCTATAAAGTAATAGAGAAATGGACGGAAAGATTTTCCGGAACAGCCCTACAAAATTTCATTATGAAGTCCATACCAGACGAAGCCGTGCTCCGAGCGTGGGATGAAGCTCCGCCCACCCGATGACGTCAGTGGGAGGGCTGGTATGCATTCGTTCACTCACGACCTCAGGAGTATTCCGCGCTTCCCATTGGTCGCCATTATTACAAACCGACCAATCAGAACGGAGGGGCTGTGCGCGAGCGATGATGGGAATTTCGCCCGTCTGTTGGCCAGTTTTGCTCGATCTCTTGTGGAAAGAATTACTTACTGAGACATACGCTGGATTTTACACACTCCTTCGACCTTATCGTGCAGTTATAATGCCTTCCACGCTTATATTCTTCTAGACCGACGACGGCATCAAATAGAGCTTTATCTCGGAAGGAGCAAGAGCAG